CTACGTCTGTATCCAGTAGCAGTCTCGAAAAGTTTACCTCCTTTTTGGATTTTTTTATGTTTCCATTTACTCTGACGCGAAAAATTGCGACCGTATGTAGGTAATTCCAAGTTTGTTTTTACGTTCGCGTTCTGATCAAAATTAATTATTTAAATGCGATATAATCATAAAAAACCTTAGTAATTCTTCTTTATTCAAAACATTCAAAAACTGCCACTTTTCGAAGAGAAACCATGATCATGAAAAGTGCAGCAAATCCGTCTTTCCACTTTCAGTCCATTGCATCTCAGTTTAGGGAAATTACTGTTAGGAGTAAACCCGTGCAGGTTGAGCGACCCATCGGGCGCGTCCCCAGGTGGCGGATATGGGGAAGGGCGGTCAGATACGTCCAAGTATACGTGCCAAGAGATGCAAGGCTGGGGGGAAGCCCAGCCAAAAGCGACTAACCTTGAGGCAACAGGCACACCTCATTGTATCAGCCTTACCCACACATGCCGGGCTCTGTGTGGATGGACTTAACCCTTCCCTAGCTACTCATGGGAATGATGGGGAGGAAAGCACCACCATCTTACACCACAAAATACCGGCGGGACCTCCTCAGCAGAACCGTCAGGCTCCGCAGCTGGCAAAGTACCGAAGAGTGGTAAAAGACTCTCGGGGGCCGCCAGGCGGAAAAACCACCAAAACTGTGCTAGGTAGACCCCCAGGGGAACCAGCACACCCCAAAAAAGCTGCCGTGACCGGAACGCAAAAACGACACCGGTCGGATGGCAGCACACCCAACAAGGCCAGCACCTGAGCGGCTGTATGTGGAAACTCCCGTATAAGAAGGAACCACACGCAAGTCGTGCAAGGTTGCGATTTCCGGGATTAAGATGGCCAGAGAGGCGGTCGGATATCCCGAGAAGAACTTTTCTCCTCAGCAAGGAGAACTCATAAAGAGGCACCTGCTTGGGAAAATCGACGAGCTGCAGCCAGGGATGACTACCAGACTAGGTCATGCGTCGTACCTCCCCCCCCCCAAGATTGTTCTGGAATTTATTGAATACACAGGGATAATGAGGGAGTAAAATACGAGGGCGCAATGGGGCAAAAATGACCGCGATGCAAGGCAAAACACCACCTTGGCGGTATGGAAAGGGTTTTAGTGGGTAAATAGCTTAGCTGGAGTCCCACACAACCCAGAGCGACAGACCACCAGCTCTAGGAGTGCATAAAAGAGCATTTACCAAACCTCACCGAAAAAAAAACAAGGTACTAAAATCCTGTTGGTTGATACTACTAAAAGCTGGTTCTAACAGCGTTCGCTGAACGAAGGAATCAGGATCGGTTCTGCACAGATCCTGAACCGAGCCTGCATTCTAATCCGGTTCGTTATAGCTTCGAGCCGATCCTGAATCGCTACCGCGAATAAAGCAATTATTTCATGTCATTTTCGTCAAATTTCTGCGTAAGGTCGAATGCAGGCAGGAATTTATTGATGGTCGGTTTGAGGCAAGGCAGGGCATTTCCAAGTTGAACATAGAGTGTTATTGATATAACATTAAGCCGTCAATTAATGTTTGTCTATCTATGTGACTATGTGGTTTTCTTGTAAAGCAAAATTTTGATTCGAGAGGTGCAAAATTAAAAATATTATACTTTTTTAAATTACTAACATATTTTCGTCCTCGCCTCAGATTCATAATTTGCCAAAACGTTCTTTTATGTAAATAATATACGATTGGCCCGAAGCTGACTTGGCTGCGTGACTATTGGAATACATACTAATAAACTCTTATTTTTTGGACTTTTCTATTAATTTGGACGCAAACGGCAACGGCGAACGCAAACGTCAAGTTTATAAATGGGCTTTTACTCTTACATATAACAAAAAAAACGTAATTTTTGGCTCATTTTATAACTTCTAGAGGTTATCGTACTTTTAGGTTGATGCTAAATAAAAATGTTTTCCGTATAGTAAATTAATCATTATTTAAGGAAAACGCAAATTGTCTCAATATATTTATTTGCATCATTTGTAAATAATTTTCATAAACAAACTGTAAGCACAATATTTATATTCTGCAACGGAATTGATTTTGGTATTTTACAACTGTACAAAAACACATTACGTGTTTTAATATGTAATTAAAGGTTTTTTGCCATAGAGTTCGAATATTTCGGCCCAACCTGCCATTGTTCTTTCCTTCAAATGAGTGTTTAACTCTAGTGTAGTATTAATATTTAAATAAATTGAATTTTCCTCAGTATGTGGAGTCCAAATTACATTGTTGAATAGTGCAGATTCCTCCGGAGTTGGATTTCTAAAACCTTAACGTGTACTATTGATAATTTGGTCGCATATGGTAACTTACAAATATTTAGCAAAGTTGGTCCAGAGTTTGACGAGCCTATTCTGTACCAATAAATCTTCAGCTTGGGCCGATCGAGGCCAGTAAAATAGGTAAGGAAGATCGGAAGAATGGGCTACCTTTTCAGCACCTAAACATATAACACAGCATAGTGACACACCTTACTACCTTCCCGATAGCAATTCCAGAATTTTAAAACATTCCAAACAAATGATCATATAAATTCTGAAATCAAGCATTATAATATTTAATTCACTTACCATCAATGAAGGGCTCCATGACATGACGTGCTCCATAGTACGAGAACTGATAAAGATATACGGGTGTGTAAGCAGATTGAAGATCAGCATGCTTTAGTATTGCTCTTCCAAACAAACTGTCACTGTAAAGCTAGTAAAATTATGATATTAATAAATTGAGCAGGATTGCAAGGTTCCAATTGCATTAGTCAAAATTAGAAAAAATAGAAAATGTGTAGATAAGTGCTTTATTTTGTAAATTTAGTCTAAGAAGTCACGAAACAACTACAGGGTTATTTATTGAACTTTGGGCACCCCGTTTTTGCATTTAATTTGAAATTTAGAGAAGYGTTAAATACAAAAGTTTAAGATATTAACGTCTAGTTTATTTTAAGATAATACCAATTGATACGTGGTGTCTCAAATTCAAGTGACAGACCAAATTTAGSCTTTTTTAAATGGAATGCCGTACTTTTTATTRCATTTTCGAGCTATTCGTAAAAWTMTAGGCCTGCTSTATATAAATGTTTTATGTTGTTTTCAACTGTTTTTGAGTTAATAGCCAATATTGATTAAACWTAGCGAACTCCCMTWTRWTGGATCTAGACAATTCAGCCGGAGATTTTTGCATGATACAGCATATGGAGTCAAATMGGACGATATTTTGAAAAATTTTGCAACAGAGTGTAGCCAGATAATGGGGCAAGATAGGTCGTGAAAGCTCATTAACCTAGGACAATTTTGAAGTATCACGAGTGAAAAACAAAGTCAAMATTTTGCCTAAAAAGTTTAGTTCAGCTTTTTTGRGTTACCGAGGGATTTGCAGTTTTTGGAAACCATATTTTYGTGATTTTCGTRAAAAYTGTGAGAGCTGGAACGTAAAAGAAATACCGTTGGATAGTGCTCGATKAGCCCAAGAGTTTTATAAAGAATAACTTTTCAAAGCTTCGTGTTCGRAAAAAAATGTAAAATTTTGARAAAATCGCAAAGTGCACACCAACAGTGTTGGYAAAAAAATTTTGCAAGTATTCCYTGACAGTCGTTTAGATATGAAAAAGTTACATGACAAATCAACTTTGGTTGGTTCAAAAAAGAAATCMTCTGTGAGCTACAGGRGGAAAACGAAAAAGTTTATGCAGGCCCTTATGGAAGGRAAATTTCCAATATTGAATAAATAGTTTGAAAAAGTTTGAATAAAATTGTCAAACTGACATTAGAAGTGGTTGAAATGAACACCAATTAGTAGATACTGAGACAAATACGAATCAACTACATGTCAAATCGATTCGGTAAAGTGGAAAAAAAATCGATTCGGTAAAGTTGAAAAAAAAATGCATTTAACTCCAAGTAATCGGTAAATTGTGGTACCGAGCAACTAATATGCTTCCCAAAAATCAGAAAATGATGACGAACGTATTCTAGTTCGACCGAAACATAGCTAATAGATGTGGTTAATTATTTTTTAATGCGATGATGAGAAACTAYAAGTTTCCGATTTTAGCCAGACCAACRAATCGAAAAAATGTGCGAGAATTTTTGACTTGCCTTGTTCATGTTTTTTTGTAGGTAAACAAAATGYTTTTATATCGAAATATGCAACGAATTATTCCAGTGAGCTGGCGAKGAGATAGATCGATAGAGGGATAACRAAGCCTTAMAATTCCGTGAAATCGATTGCAACAGGATAAATGGTTGACCTTGAAGATTGGAGTTAAAGCTGGAAATCGATTTTGAGTATCAAACATTAGGGTTCAATTTGGCATTGGATATTGTCGAAAATATAAAAAAATATATTGAAAATATAAATTAGCTCAAATATGCAAATAAAAGTACATTATTCTATTAATAATTCCAATTAGATGTTAAAACGGGGTGGCCAAAGTTCAATCAATAACCCTGTACTTCTAAATAAATGACAGGAAAAATAATTATGGAACTCATATTTAGTTATTATTATAGAACCTATTTATAGAACCATATAAAGATTTACAATTCTGCAGCAATAGCACAAGTGAAAAATGTTTGAATAATTTTTAATTCTACTGACTGCAGTCAGAGCTATACATTTTCTACTTTTTGATTAAATTTGGAAGTTTTACTATGCTTAGCTGCAACTCAAGAAAAATATTTGAATGTAGACTGTGATTTTGGCGACAAAAAAATCGGTATTTTGAAATTATAATTATAGTAGCTTTCACATTAGATATTAAATTGCTTTAATATTTACTCAGGCATCTAAATTCTAATCTTTTGAGTATTTAGAATGTGCTATGAGCTACTTCAAAATTATGTAATGCTGTAATGTATGTAATTATCCCCTATCAAAAAAATTACGTATATTTTACCAACACAGAATACAATGAAATATAATGGATTTATATGATCTTACGATTCCACTGGTTTTCTTCC